GGGCAATTTGCGGCTTGTAGTCATACTGTGACAGGTCGAGCGCCCCTCCAGGCGCAGAGACCAGCAACTTTTGTGCCTCCGAGAGTGGCCTTCCAGCCATGTGGCCGTCTACAGAAGTCCTCATTCTAGTCGAGCTGGCTCCGGCAGACTCGGCAGTCGAAACGGCTGTGTTTAAAGCCGGCGGCATAACTGCAAATCTATCACTATGGCGACCGGGATTTGGAGACGAACCAGCCCCTGCAGGACCGGTTGGCTTGGCCTGACTCACGACAGGCTTCTTGTTGTTGATCGCATTTACAAGACTAGGCTGTGCCACGTTTCGGCGACTGTAGGTGGCAGGGATGAAGAATTCTAGCGGCTTGCCACAGGGCAATTTGTGCTCCTCTTTTGCCATGCTAATAGCTAATATTATTTTCTTTACATCAAATATGTGTCAATTAAAGACGTGTACCGTTCGGCATGCATTATCTGGCAGAAAGAGCCCTACTAGGTAACTAGGCCTTGAGCTTATTGCCTGTGGAGACGACAAACTTGGGCAAGCTGGTCTTATGATCAGGTCATTGGTCAACGCAGTTGGCCAATTAAAACGAAGCAAAGACCAGCCAATCAGAAGTTGAGCAGGCCCACCAGTTGGGACGCAATACTGGGATTCTGGCCAGGCCAGAGAGCCTCATTGTGTCACATCGACTGAGGCGAAGATAGCTGATTATGGCTGGCATTGGCCAGATTTCTCTCGAGTGAAGCAAGGCAGCCGAGTTAAGCTGTGGCCTGTTGTAATAAAACGGAGTACATTTTACATCAGACTAGACAACTCTGATACAACTAAGACTAAATTTATTGTTAGATATGACGAAAAACTGGTCTACGAGGATTCCCCTAATATATTGATGCTGGTCCGCCTCTTCGGACGAACTGAAAGTTACGACAACATTGCACTTATTATTGTCAGTATGCGGCATTTTTGATCAGCTTTAGGGAATTGAATTAAATTGAAAAAAAGGCTGGAATTTACAGCGAAATCCTCTGCGTTATTATGCGCAAAAGGCAATTTTTGTTCAGGCATCATCATCATTACAAAGGGGATTTGGTTTATGGGATTGATGCTGCCGATGGATCAGTGCAGACAGAAAATCCACTTAAAATTAGCCTCAAAATTATATTGCTATCGACGATCTTAGCTCTATTTAGCCAAAGATTTTTTGATGTAATAGAAAATAAGTTAAAATGGAGATGAGTTTTGAAAATAAACAAAACATGATTGTGTCAAAGACTTAAAAAAA